TTCTGGCTGCACCAGGTGGCTTGCGGGATCTTGGTTCCCCGACCAGGGATCAGACCCCGGCCCTGGCAGTGAAAGCGCGGAATCCTAACCACTAGACCGCCAGGGAATCCCCTGTATATGCTTTATATAAATATCACACACACACACACACACACACACACACACACACACACACACACACACACACAGAGTACCATCATGAACCTCTTACCTGGCCTACAACTTTAAGAGCTATGACTTGCTTCCTCTCCAAAATACTACCCATCCTTCAAGACCCAGCAAGACTTGCCTTTTCCATGAAGTTTTTGCCATCTCTAGACCTTCTGTAATTTAACTCGAGTTCATTGACCTAAGTTTACGTCCAAAGGGAATAATTGCAAACACAGTGCTCATGTGCCATGCACTCTGGCCAAATTAATCGTACGCCTTCCACAAAGTAAGTGCTCAAAAAACCTCAGCTGGATGCTGTGTGTGTGAAACAGAACCACTCATTCCTAGCACAGTGCCCCGTACATAGCGTAAACCCAGTGACTGGCTGACTTGTTCTCCGCGTACACCTCATATCTACACCTGTGCACGTCTTTTATTTTGTTCCTTTATCACACACGCTATTCCTGCAGCCACTCCCTGCTCTTCTAGGCCTTTCAGAGTCTTAACCCAGTATTCTAATATCTGCTGAAATAACACCAACATCCCCTGTGAAGCTCCCTGGGCTTCACCACATCCTGAGGTGACTCTCCTCTCTTCACTCCTCTTAAAGAGTGTAGTTCAGGCCACTATTTCTATAGTTAATACATTCTGCCTCATACAGTAGTTCTTTATACATATTCCTGATCTCTTAAGTCATGATAAATTCCTTGAGGGAAGAATCACTGTTTACCTCATAGCCGTAATTTCAATCTTTAAAAATGGAAAGCTCTAAAGAAATATCTGTACGTTGAATTTGTTGAATTAACTATTCCAGTCCACCTTAATTTAGCCTTTTTTAGAGCATCTTGGCCATCCATATTCATCACACAATCTAGACCTTAAAACTATACAGTCTCTCATTAAACTCTAGAAGTTCCTCATACCCTAACTAGACTGAACTTCATCAGGTCGGGGCTAGCCTGCTCCCACCTTACACTGCTGAGGTCAAAGAGGATGCTCACTTGTGGACCAACAGAAATAGGAGAGGTATAACAACGTATAACAGGTGCTCCTCAGAAGAATATTTGTATCCATTTAAGTCTTTACGCACATTTCTCATTAAAATCATCTTTGCAGAAGCAGCAGTTTCTTTTTTAATTAATTTATTTTCATTTTTATTTATTCTTGGCTGCACTGGGTCTTCGTTGCTGCACACAGGCTTTCTCTAGTTGTGGCGAGCGGGGGCTACTCTTCGTTGAGGTGCGCTGGCTTCTCATGGTGGTGGCTTCTCTTGTTGCGGAGCACGGGCTCCAGGCGCACGGGCTCAGTAGTTGTGACTCGTGGGCTCTAGAGTGCAGGCTCAGGAGATGTGGCGCACAGGCTTAGTTGCTCTGCGGCATGTGGGATCTTCCCGGACCAGGGCTTGAACCCGTGTCCCCTGCATTGGCAGGCAGATTCCCAACCACTGCGCCACCAGGGAAGCCCAGGAGCAGCAGTTCTGATGTAACCAGTTGACAGTTCAACCCTGTGAAGCCCTCTGAAAATGAAACGTTGCTCATTCCTGATTTTGGAATAAGAAATTCTTCCTGAGAGCACTTCTACACTGTTGGTGGGAATGTAAATTGGGGCAGCCACTATGGAAAACAGTATGGCAGTTCTTCAAAAAACTAAAAATAGAACTACCGTATGATCCATCCACTCCACTCCTGGATATATATCCAGAAAAAATGAAAACACTAATTTGAAAAGACACATGCACCCCAATGTTCATAGTAGCACTATTTACAATAGCCAAGACATGGAAGCAACCCAAGTGTCAACAGACAAACTGATAAAAAGGATATGGTGTATATATATATATATATATACACACACACACACACACACACACACACACACACACACACACACACAATGGAATATTACTCAGCCATAAAAAAGAATGAAATTCTGCCATTTGCAGCAACATGGATGGACCTGGAGGGTATTATGCTTAGTGAAAAAAGTCAGACAGAGAAAGACAAATACTGCATGATATCACTTATTTGTGAAATCTAAAAAATAAAACAAACAAACGTATACAGCAAAAGAGAACAGACTCACAGATACAGAGAACAAACTAGTAGTTACCAGCGGGGAGAGGGGAGGGGGAGGGGCAAGGTAGGGGGAGGGGATTAAGAGGTACTAACTACTACATATAAAATAGATAAGCCAAACGCATATATTGTACAGCACGAGGAATTACAGCCATCATTTTGTAATGACTTGGAATGGAATATAATCTATAAAAGTACCGAGTCACTAGGCTGTACACCTGAAACTAATATAATATTGTAAATCAACTATATTTTAATTTAAAAAATTAAATAAACTGTGGTACATCCAGAAAAAAAAGAAAAAGAAAGAAATTCTCCCTGAGAGTATGTAACCTGCCTTGAGGATCAGATGTAAAGACTAATTAATATTAAGGATGAAAGACAAACAGAGAGCATCAATTACAACACTTTAGCTAATACAATGGTGGCACTGTTCGATGCTTAGTTCTCATTAAATTTCCAAGAGGGCAATTAGACTTAATAAAAAAATCCTCTTAGGGCCAGCATATTTTAAATTGCTCATCTGCCTAAGCAAGAAGAGCCCCGCTCAAGGCTTTAAGTGCCAACGTTCCTCAGGCATGCAGATCTGTCATCTCCTCCCAGCTCCTGGGCAGCTTTTCTCCCCGTGATGCTTCCCAGTTCCTTTCCTCAGCTGTGCCACCTCTTCCACTGACTAAACTTAATTCAATGAATGGCTGGTGAAACTACAGTAGCATCTTTTTTTTTTTTTTTAAGTCCTCTCTTACATTTTTAGTCTACCTCATACAATGGGAGAGAAAATAAAAATAAAGTGATTTGGGTACAATCCAGACCTGGCAGAAAAAGAAACACATGGCCCATGAATGTCATCTGAGATTCAATCCATGTCATATCAGGAGATCGCTCTGGCTGAACTCATCGGATAAGTGGCCAGCGCCAGCAAACACACACACACACACACACACACACACACACACACACACACACACACACCACACACACGGCTCATGTTCAAACACACTCATCTGCACCTTCTTATATAAACATCATACCGCGTCCTTAACAATCCCCAGGCCATTTTGAGGTAAGAACTTTGGAGTAGCCACATATTCCAAAGGAATTTGGTTAGCCTACTAAGAAAAAGAAAAGAAGAAATTTTTTTCCTTTGCTAAATTACTTAGTATGTGTAAGTAATGTTAAACTATGTGATTTGTATTTACTATAAACCATTGCATTTTCTTATGCTCTGCTCCCCCCAAATAAACAAAGCAAACACAAAACTATCAGAAAGCAAAAAAAAAAGCAAACATAAAGCCAGCTAATGGTTTTGTTTCCTCTATGAAGTTAAAGGCTTGCTAAAATGTCAAAGCAGTTGAAATAGGTGCTGTTTGCCGACTCTCTAGGTCAAAAATGTAACTTGAGCTCTAGTCTTTTAGCTGAGGATACGTTTTAAATTTTCTCTAAAGATTTCCTTTGCCATGCTTTTCATTTCACAAGTCTTTTAAATTCCTCGAGCCCTGCCCAGTGGAGTGAAAGTCACCTTAATGAAGAAAGTAGAGACCTAACCACCATGACTTTGGAATAGCAGAGGATCTCAGCTGTAATTCTTTGGCTCAGAACCAGGGTCTAAAACCAGCCATGGGAAAAGCTGCTGACATGGAGCCTGCAATTCCCTCCATGTTTGACTTGCAAAATGTTGACAGTATAACACCAGAGAGACCCCAAAATATTTCAAACAATTGTGACTTCTTTTCTATAAATATTTTTAAATTGTTTTAGGAGATAAAATAACATATTTTACACTTCTTGTTTTCTTAGTTACTCCGGTTGCCCTCAGCAGCTCACTACTAGGGATTTATTTTTGGCTCGAAGGTCAGGGAGGACATTTCAAGGCACTACTTCTGCTGCTAAACTGTGTTTTCCAAGATGAGTTGCCTGGTAAGTAGGCGAGTTGGCCGCTCTTAAAGCAACAAGTGACTGTGGTATCACAGAATAGGAGAAATGATGATTTCTTTCTTTTGTTGAAGCTCAAGCAAGAAAAAAAATCAAGTACTCAAGATGATATTTTAAAACATCTCCCACCCTCGTTACGAGCACAGTTTTCTTTCTGGGCAGAACAGTACTTTTCATTCCCTTTCATTTCTCTCCTGTTCCAGTTATTGCTGTGTGAGACCTAAGTTTGAATACATGGCAACTCTTCCAATAGGAAGAGGGTATAAAGAGGGAGGGAGACTTACAGAGATGGCCAAGGAAACTCGTGACTTTGAGTATATTATCCAACTATTTCGGGTGTTTCCTCCTCCAGATTTAGCCAAATGGTAATCACCCAGAGAGTAAGAGGTAAAATTTATTTGAAATCTGCAATTTCCACTCTCAGAGAATATGTTTAAGAGGACTTAATTCTGAGCTCTGGAAATAGGCTATGATATCCTTAGTCACAGATGAGCTGAGTGATCAGTACGTTAATAATCCTTCAGTGCAATTTCAATCTCTCCCCCAGAGCCTGAGGACCAAGAGACCTGGCTTGCCTTCACCAGAAATGCCCTCAGCATGATTTGCAGCATTTATTTTTGACGTGGAAACATCAGATGCCAAAGCTGACTACTGTTTTCCTCCTAAAAACATCCCCAGAAACGTCCTCCTGGTTTGCGATTTTAAAGCTACAACAGGTTTTCTATTTACTGCTACTTAAAACTTACCTCTTCTAATTACATCATCCAGAGAACTTAGATTTAAGAAATAAAGTTCAGTGTGGTTTCAAAACACTGCGGGTGGGAATGGAAAAGCAGAACTCACCTTGACTCCCAGAAAAAGCATCACTTGAGCCTGCCACTGCCAAGGTCAACAGCAGCTGCCAGAGATCCATACCTGTAGGACCTGTGATCATACAAAGAGGAATAAGATAAAGCTAAGCAATTAAAAGTAGACTATTTTCATTAAAAATTGTTTAAAGACTGGCTAAATTATGAATGAGCTGACATGCACAGCAGCTCTAGAAGGAATCTTTGTAAGTCTTTCACTGCCCTGGAGTCTCACGTTGTCATACTTTTCATGAGCGCAAACAGCAGGTTGTAATAAATTCTACTTCCGGTGGGTGCCTGCCTCAGGAAATAAAATGGACACTAGAGATTTTCACATCCTGGCCGGCAGCCATAGGACCACCACACAACAAATGACCCCCACGCATTGCTTCCATAACTGGGCAGTGTGTGGTTCACTTTAATCTGATCTGGAAATAGAAACTCTTCAGCAGTATCACCAAGCAAGGGGCCTTGAGCTGGACAGCCCATAAAAGGGAAAACAAAACAACCCACTTCAGTAGTAGTAAAACTTCTCCAGTGTGTGTCCCAGTGAACAAAAGAGCTCCATTAACACTCAAAACACTGTGCTAATGAGCCATTCTAAGGAGGTTTAACCAGAGGCAGCAGTAAGGAGGTGAGAAGCAAAAGAAAACAAAACACTGGTGCTTCCTAGGTGGCCTCCCCTAGGACACCTGGTGTCCTTGTGGGTTTCAGGAGGAATGTGGTCTCTGAAAGGCCCAGGAATGTGAACACCTCAGACTCTAAGAAGGGTCCGTTTGTGGCTGGGCTGGCCATTTGGAATCCCAAGTGTGGCCACACCTTGAAGCCTTTGGTTTGATGAGTGGGGGAGCACATCAGCATGCCTCAGCCAGCATACACCTTTACCTGGAGGAAATGAAGCTTCTTGGGAATAAACAGACCAGGTGTCCACCTCCTGGATCTCTAGAGACAAGTTTGGCTGGCTTAAAATGAACTCAGCAGACTGCCCTTTGGAGAGCTGTTGCTACATCTGACGACTAACGCCAACTACTTTAAAGCTTAGCTGCAATATTTCCATGAAATTACAGTACTTTACAAGTCACTCAGGCAAATCTGATCATCATACTGGGGAGCTCCACCAGTGCCTCTACTGGACTTATTTTTATTACTGTACATTCTTGACAGTAATAAAATAGCCCTCTGCTACCCCTAATCAAACTGAAACGATGAACACAAATGTTTGTTTTCACAGATAGTGGAATGCTGTGGTCCGGGTAATGGCTGTGTAATTCTGAATAGGTAGTAAATGTCTCACAGTCTACACTTTCATTTCTAGACAGTGGATGATGCATCATTTTTTTAAACTCTATATGATTTTAACGTTGTTAAAAAATTCTAAGAAGACATCTCTAGGTGAATGAAATCTCTCCCTGCGTCTGAATATCCAGGTGTAGCCCACATGCATGAGGATGCCCCACATACACTGCCCCATGGGGTCATTCATAGGACTGAGTGTCACGGCGTAGATGAACACACTTTGCCAACTGTGAGAGTTCACACTAATGTGAGTTGTGGTTATTATAACACCCATGTTTTAAATTCTTAACCTGGAAGGCTCTGGGCTCATGGCCTTGCATCATCCCCAGCTACTTTCACTGAGCATCTCTCCCAAGGTCCTTTACTCCTAGGTGAACAGGCCACCGTAATCATAGTTTGAAGTCTCCAGCAGAAATACATAAAAAGGCTAAAAACAAATACGTTATAGGTTGAAAATGCTATCCTCTGGGTAACTGGATATTTCCTTTTAAATTCTGTTTTACAAGTATTTTTTTAAGGAGGAAAAGCATTGAGGAACTGGATTCTGTACTTAGTGCTACTTTTACTCGCCATCCCTCAACACACCACGTGTCGGGTAAAGAAGCCTCCCTCCTCTGCCACAGGCTCTCTTGATGTTGGGTTTTAACAGTGAGCCCCATTCCCAGGCAACACTGTATGCTCCCCAGCTGAATAAGGATATGAACAGGTTTGCATTTCCCAGAAGGATGCTTCCTCTGGTTTCGAAGTTACCCCTTCGAAATTCTCAAAGAGACTTGGCAGATGCCAGAGACAAGTGAATTTTGCTTCAGACGAATCGTAGTTGGCGCCCTCCCATCCCCAATCTTTTGAAAGCTGCTGCCTACAAATGAACTTCGCCTCTCCCAAATAAGGAACTGATTATTGCAACAGTTTCTTTATGAGCCAAACACATCTCCACAGAATACATTCTATCTCACAAAACAAATCAGAATCCCCAAAGCAAAATTAACCAGAAAACTGTTTGCACACTCTGACAGCAGAAAAGGAGGTATTTAAAACGGCCATCCTCCCACATGGAAGAGAATGGTTCACTGCCAATGAGAGCAGGGCATAGGGACTCCCAACTCTAAGGCTCTAACTAGGGGTGGGAACAGAGAAGAGGATAAAGCAATGTGGCTGGATTCAATAAGGGCTAAGGGTTTCCTTAGACATTAACACTCCCAGTCCACTGTTGCTGGCTCAGTGGGGATAACTCCGAAAGCGGTCCCCTTTGCACTCCCCCCTCTCCTTGCACCCCCATAGTGAACTCTCTTTAGTGCCATCACATGAACAGAACGTTCATTGGCCTGGGCCGATTTGACTGTAGGCTTTCCCCTTCAGTGATGCAGGGTGCTGCGTGGCAGCTTCTAGATGAGAGGGTCCTCTTTTATTAGGTTCTGGAGGAGATAAAATGTCCCTGGGAAAGGACAGAGTGCCAACACACAAAGTTTGGAACTTGAATCTATCAGTGATGTGCCAGATGTGAGCAGGAGAAAACCCCTTTCTTTCCTTTTCCTGATATAATAATCTAACTAGAGGCAGGCATTGTTCAAAGGAATCTATTAAATTGTACCTTAGTCTATTGGGTTTATAAAGTTTGCAGTATTTTCCTAGGGAAAATCCCTCTCTAAATTTCTAATGATATTTATGCATTCTTTGGCCATAGCCACATGGCACGATGTTCACTGGGGTGAGGGAAGGAGGCTTCTATTTTTGCAGAAGGGAACTCACACCATTCGAATCTCAACGTGCCTGAGGCATTTTGCCGGCTCCCCCTTCCTCAAGGGAGAGCCATTTGAAAAGCCCTGTGACCCAGCTGGCGTGAGTTTTAATTCTGTAAACTGCGTAGCACAGGAGGCCTCCAAATCCCAGTGAGGCCAATGATACACTTTTGTTCCTTGGCCGTAAAATCGTCCATAAACACATGAGAAGAGACGGAGGTTAAATACACTATTTTTTCCCAACATGTTAAAACCAACTCCAGGCAAAGAAAGCCATTGGTTCCATTCTCTTTAATTTAAAATTAGCAAGTATTTGTTGAACTACCAGTGGCTGCTAGCATTGTACAAGGCACACTGGAGACTATGAAAGCAATCAAAACCATTGAGAGAGAAATCACTACTGGATTTCAGAGATATCTACACAGAAACGATGAGTAGCAGACAAATTTAATGTGAAGACAAGACTATTTTGTGAAGAATCCCCACGTCATCTTTATTAAAAGTAACATTAAAAAGTATATGAAGCCATGCAGGAAAAATGTGATCATATCTGGTTAGTAATTTGTCAGCGACAAAACGAACCACCACCCAAAACCACCTACACCCTCTGATTCTCTGATCTGCATCAAGTACTTAAAAGGAAAATGGTCAAAAGCATCCTTAGAAGTATGATGTCAGCATTTTAATAAGTGGGAAGAGTAAAATAATAGATTTAGGAGCTTGTAGTTCTGTTATGGCCAAGTAACGAAGAATATCAAAATGGCAGCTGAATTGATCAGAAATAAGAAGTTTTCTCAAATGTCTGTTTTACTGATCTAGTGATTCTGCTATGGAAAGAGCGAGAGCTGATTTTATTAAAAACCCCAACAGAAGCAGAAGAGTTTATATTGCAAAACCAAGACTCCAGGTAGACAACCTAATAAATGTGTACTTTCTGATGCTAGGTTGATTACTAATGAAACATTGCAAAACTGAATCTCATTGATTTCCTGGTGAAGCTTTTCTAAGAACTCAGCACTGAAGAAGGAAGAGGCTTATCCCAAAGGGTATTTGAAATGATCGATTCTAGTTAGCTTCAGGCATTTATTTGAACAGTTTGTATCTGGAGTTCATGTTATTATCCACTTTTTGGTGGTGGTCATTTGAAAATCGGTCAGACACAAAATGCCTTAGGTCAATTTATCTCCTTCCCATCAGTGAGGGAGAAGAAATTCACAGACATTATTGATATCATTACTCTCGCTGAGATTTCTCTCCTCGCAGGGATCCAGTGGGGAATATAGGACGGGAAGGTAGTTTAAATGTGTACAGTATGAGGGGAAAAAAAACCTTTGGGAGTGGTATATATAATACGCCTCCATTTTTATAAAAAAACAAAAAATAGAGCATATATGGTCACCAGTTCAGCTACTACCAGTCACCTATAACTATTGAGTACTTGAAGTGTGGCTAGTGCAACTGAGGAATTAAATAAGCTAAATTTTAATTAAATATTTCAATTAAATATTTAATTAAGTATATTAAGAACAGATTGGGTATGTAAACCTTTCTCAACTGTACATTTTATAAAATCTAAGTACAGATCAAGTGTTTCTGATGAAAAGTTAGGATCTAAATTGAGATGTGCTGTAAGTATAAAATATACATGGATTTTGAAGGCTTGGTACAAGAAAGGATGCAAAATATTTCAATAACGTTTATGTTGACTATACGTTAAAATCGTAATTTGGATTGTTGAATAAAATATTAAAAACTAATATCCCCCATTTCTTTTTTTTTAAACGTGACTAGTAGAGGATTTTAAATTACATACGTGGCATTATATTTCTAATTGACATTTATATGGCTTATATGTTTGTATCTGCATTCAGAAACATTAGACTGTTAGAGGAGCATATTTGTTTTCATAAAAACAATACACAAAATAAAATTGTATATTTGTAGTGACATATAAAATCATTATGGTTATGTTTCCAGAGGTCTTCCCAAATGCAGAATGATGGGGATAAAAGATTCACGGAAGACTTAGGTAAGATTATAT